GCCCCTGCACCGCCGCCCGGAGCTGCCAGCTTTGGGAGCCTCGGCGCCTCGACTTTCTTCGCTTCTTCACCCTTCTTGGGCGAGCCCCCCCTTCCACTTGCTTTTTCTTTTCTTTCTCGCTTTCCTCCTCAAGGTGTGTGCTCCACTCCCCCCACCTTTGAAAAATACAGTCCAACTCCTCCTGGTTGGCAATTAATTTCTCTCTTCGCTCCTTTATCTGCCTTATTTCCCCCCTCTAACAGCTGGTTGCCTTCCTCCTTGTTTTATTTCATTTTATTTTATATGATTTCTCGCTCTTAAAAAAAAAAGCTCCTCTAAGACACTGATCCGCTGAATTCCCTCCCCCTCAAAGATGCTCTAATTTATTTATTTTTTGCGTCCTTTATAACACAAGCCACAGCCCCCTTCTCCCCCCCCCCGTCCCCCCCTCCCCTCCCTCCTTCTTCACAAAAATGAAAGGAAAGAGGGGGGGAAAAATCCCTCAGAAGATGAGTAAACAAGCGTATGCTAATCTGCTCCCGAGCGCTCCACCTTCCCAATTGAATGAGTCCCAGTTAAAACTGCGGGGATCATGACTAATCAATCAGTTTGGAGAGGCCGAGCTACCCAGCCTTCCTCCACTTTCGCGTTTGCCTCCTTCGCTCCCTCTTCTCCACCCCCTCCTTTTTTTTTTTTTTTAAGAAGACAATCTTAAAGTAACAATTTAATGAAATTCTGTACACACCCCCTTATGGTCCTCCCAGCTCTCCTCATTCCTACTCAAAACACACATTCCTGTTTTTGTTTTGTTTTGCTTGCTTTTTTCCCTCCTTCACTCCCCCCCACCTTTTTTTTTGTTTTTCCTCCTGGCGGGAGAAAAATCTATCTCTTCTCTCAGGATCCCCTTTGCACTTTGCTGGTAAACCTCATCCTTCTCTATAGCACATAAAGAGTCCTGAAACTTGATTCTTAGATTTTTTTGTAGTGCTGTCTCTCTCCGTCTCCCTCTTTCACTCTCCTCTCTTTCTCACCCTCACTCTCTCCTCTCTCTCCCTCTCCCTCTTTCCCTCCTCCTTTCCCTTCTCTCTTGCCTCCCCTCTCCTTTTCCCTCTCAGAATTCCCTTAAAGTTATGCAATGATGTCCGTCCCCCTCTTCCCTGAGCCCCCCGCTGCTGCTGGCTTCAGCTAGTCTGAATGTTGTCTCCAAAGTCCTCACGGAATCATCAGAAGCAACCAGGAAAGGCATTTTCTAAGGCATTTGCCTTCTCAAAGCTGTAGACTCAGCACAACTAGGTCCTGAATATTCCTGAATACTCTTTAAAATATTCTGTTGGTTGTTAGAAATTAGTTTTATATTTAAAAAATGAGACAAAAATATTAATTTGCCTTCTTTTTTCAACCTAAGAAATTCAGGTCCTCTGACATTGTTCAAGTCACAGGTAAGGCTCTGACCATGTGCTGCTTTGTAGATCTGTTTTGAACTGGGACATATATGTAATATTTTTGTTCTTTTTTCCCCCTCTTTATAGAACTCAAAAGCTCCCCCTTATGGCAAAATGGTTCTTTTTTTCCCCTTCAAGTGTTTAATAAGTTAAAATGAGTTAGCAGTGGTAGATTACAAATTATTAGTTACCGGCCTGTTGAAATAATGTAATGATACAAATATGCTGTGTAAGATCTGCATGCTGGAAGCCTAAGGTGAAAGTAACTCGACTTTCCTCCCCCTGTGCCCCTGTCCTCAGGGCTGCTCCAGGTCCTTCCTGAGAGCCGGGGTCACTCCTGCAGCTTCAGGTAGAGTGAACACCAGCAGAGAATATGTGTTGGTGGAAGCACACGGATTTGAAGAACGAGCAAATGACTCAGACATCCCCTATAAAAGCCGGAATGTGGTGTACAGGGATTATGGCACCATTCTGAAAATGGGAGATCCCAGATTCAGATCTTCTGGGTTCGGGAAGAACTCAACATATAGTCTTATCCTAAGAACGTGTGGAATCAGTTTCTTCAGTTATAAAATGAAAATGGCATTATATCCTAAATGTGTTTCCAGAGACTGGCTGAAAGAATATCTCTGGTGCACAATGCCATGGATAAGGAACTTACCTGAGTAAATCTTTCACTTTCTGTGACCCCAGGTCACTCACCTATTAAAAGTCATGAGGCTGGTATTCAATTAAAAAACAACAACAACAACAACAACAACAAACAAACAAACAAAAAAACTAGGTTGAACTACATATATTATATCCTGCAAAATCCCTCTCTTTCCTCAATAGAGGTTTGGAACCTGACTACAGATTCACTTCAGTTGTGGCATCTAGGCATTTGGAAACTGTGTTCCTTCCAAGGGCTTCTAAGTCATTGTATACAGTAGTTTTGGGTATTCCTAGATGTTTGGGACTTTGTCAGTTCTCCCAACAAGATTCAAAACTTGGGAGTTATCCTATCAGTGCTATGCTCTGAGTGAGTCACTCTGCTACCCTGCACTTCCTTACCTTTAAAAATGGGTTATGGATTTCACAAACGTGTTCTGGGGATTAAAATACATTTTAGGGTTTAGTATTTTGGACACTGTAAAAATGCTACACAAGTACCATCTATTCCACTGTTATTGTCAAGGACCAAGTGCTCATCAGATTCTTAAAGACAAACAAAAATTCTGGGAGGCCATTTCTGTCCTGTGACAGGAATGAAAGGAAGGGACAGAGAGATCCAAGTCTCCTACCCCCTTGAGCTTCTTGACCTCAGCCCCTAAATGCCTTGGGAACAGTTGGCAAAACCTTTTACTGGTCTTGCCCCTGAACATACATCTGTTATTCTATCCTGCCGGTCCTGGAAGCCACACTTAACTTTCCTGCATGTATGTTATCTACATATGTAAGTGTCTGTTCGTTTCTAAATCAAGTGAATAGAAAGGGATGAACTGTAAGCCTCGGTTAGTGACCCACCCTAATCATTGGCCTATGCATGACATTCTTATTTATACATGACAAATAACATAGCATATGCTGCTAACCCTCTTTTACTACATCCCTTGAGCTCTCATGAATTTGACCCTTCTCCTTTCATCGTTTATAGTCAAAGAGCATTTACCTGAGAGCTTAAAGACTCAAGTTCTAATTCTGACTCGTGCGAATTCCTTGACCTCAGTTTGCTCCTATGTAAAATGAAAGGTCCGGATTCGAAAATTCCTAAGATCATTTCCACACCTGAAGTGTAATGGAGCCCCTTATTATTGGAATATGGCAGTAATTCCCATTGAATCATCCCAGCTTTGGTCAGTCCCCACCCCCACCCCTCCTTGTTTCTGGGGATTTTCATTCTAAAAACTACTTTTTAGAACAAAAAGACTTCTGTTCCTCCACTCTTAGGATATATTCCTTCATTATTCACTATATTTGGTATAATAACTAAAAGCAAGGCATTTTGCCAGGGAGGTAGGTATAGGGTCCACTGGAAGTTAGGAGGGTACCATCTAAGTGGAGTCCTAAAGTTTGGGAAGGGCTTGAAGGAGGGAGGCTGGTTCAAAATACACATTTCAGAGTCACCCCCTCCTGGGTTCCTATGGCCTGCAGCAAGTCACTTAATTTCTCTGATCTCAGGGACCTCGTCATGGAGCTGTCCTGGGGGTAGCGTGCTGAGTGACACATTGTAGGAGCTCACTGAACGAGCCCCCTCTCTTTCTTTGCAGGGATCTAAATTCCACGGCCCTCCGGGCTTTTGTCGGCTTTCATCGATAGCCTCATCCCCACCTACTTCTTACTCCACAAGGGTTTTTCTTATCTCAGAATTCCAAGGCCAGCATTGTCTGTCTGGTAGAATCTGGAACTTGATTAGATAGGATCCTGCATTGTTCTCAGTGTCCTGTTTTATGTTTTTCCTCCAAGATTAGAACCCTCCTAGGACAAGGATTTTCAAGGGCTAGTTCTGTCACCACACCTCTCCCCCATCAGCCTGAAGGGCTCCCTCCTCTGGGCTCTCATAAAATGTCCTCTGAGTTTCTCTGAGCATGTCCCCAAAGCTAACGATCACACTTAATTACATATCTGCTTGTCTCCCTTTTCCGTGTGGGACAGAGTCTACTGCATTCGTATTTGTGTTTCCCCAAATCCTAATCTAGAACTTTGCACATACCTATAGCTGCTGGTTCAGAACCATTAAATTGAATTATATATATATGTATATGCACATATGTATTATATATTATATACATATACATATACACACATAGGGAGAGGGATGGAGAGAGGGGCGTGGGGGAGGAAGGGAGAGATTTGTAAATCCACATACATATGTAGATGTATGTATGTATATATTTTTGCTTCTCAATGCTCCTTTAGTTATTCCTGTGATGTCTATTTGTTCAGTGCTATGAATGCATAATTTCTTTATTTTGCCAGCCTCCCTTTTCCCAGATGGTGCATCAGTGGACACCCAAACAGGTATATCGAAGTCCGTAGGCTGCCCAAGTGAGGGTCACTAGAAAGAATGTAGACTTTGGAGTAGAAGAAATTGGATTCACATCCTACCTTTGCTAAAGAACGATTCTAACAACAGCTTGTATTTATTGAGGATGCACTATGTTCGAAGCAATATTTAAATACTTTTTATAGGAACTGTCCCATCTAATCCTCCTAACAA